TTGCTGTTATCTATCCGCCATGTTCTCCCGGAAGTCTATGGGTAGGTTTTCTAGAAAGGTAACATGTAGAGGCGAGAGGGAGACAGGTGAAGCAACTGGTGTGCAAGTAAATCAGTCATTCCGTGTGTGGAGTGGATGTTTACATGTCCTTGGAGTGTGACTTTGGAGGTCTCTTGTGCGTGGATGGCAGTGGCAGCCAGTGCTCGGAGACAAGGAAACCATCCCTTGACTCTGGCATCTTAACTGTTTAGAGAGAGAGGTGAATGTACTGGGGTTGGCCCTTTTAGTTGTGTTAGAACCCCAACTGCCATCCTGTGGGCTTCTGAGGTGTAGAGATCAAAGGGTCTATTTGAGTTAGGCAAAGCCAGTGCGGGAGCCTGCAGTAGTCTGGATTGGATGGTGGTGAATGCCTGGCAGATGGTTGGAAATGGGTTCGTCAATCAGCCCACGAATTGCCTAATAAAAGGGTTTGGCCAGCATGGAAAAGTTAGGAATCCATAGCCTAAAGTAGCTTGTTAGCTCCAGGAAGGACTGTATTTGACGTTTTGTGTGTGGTGCAAGCAGGGCACAAAGCACTGTTTGCGGTCTATGATGAGGTCTTTTGAGGAGGGAGTGAGGCTGAAGCCTAGGTGTGTAACCTTTGGATGAGAGAGTTGTGCTTTGTCTTTTGAAATCCAATACCCTAGGGAGGCTAAGTAGTTTAGGAGAAGAGTGATATGTGCATAAGAGGTTTCTAATGAGGGGCTACAGAGGAAGAGTTTGTCTACATACTGGAGGGAGATACTTGGGGAGAGGTCTAGATGTGCTAGATCAGCTGTGAGTGCTTGGCTAAAGTAATGTGGGCTGTCTTGAAAACTTTGGGGGAGGACCATCCAGGTGACCTGTTGGGTAGTTTTTAGTATTGGGTTCTCCCACGTGAAAACGGATAGAAGTTGGCATAAAGGAATGGTAAAGACAGTGTCTTTAAGGTCTAAGACAGTGAAATGGGTGGTAGCCGGTGGGGCAGATTGTTGTTTAGAGTAATTTGTATGTGTTGGGAACTATTAGGGTGACAAGGCAGATGGCCAAATTGATTTATCTGAGATCCTGTACTAGCTAATAGGTCTCATTTGGCATTTTGACTGGTAGGATGGGGGAGTTGTATAGTAGTTGGGGCTGAAGAAGTCTATTGATTATGGGCTTCAGTCCCAAATGATGTTGGTGTGAGATAGGGAACTAGGGGTGATTTTGGAAAGTAGAAAGATTTAGCAGGCGTACTTGAACCAGTGGGTGGTGGCTGGCTATCCATGGTCAGGAAGTGTTCCAGATTTGGGAGTCTATCTTATTCCAAGGAAAATGGGTACTTGGTGGCTGGGAGGTATCTCATAAAATTGTGCCCACTTTATCAGGTAACTCGGACAGGAGTGCTAGAATAAGAGAAGGGGCTGAGGTGTCTGGGGAAGGAAAGTGTGACCTGGAGTGTGCAGGGTGCATCTGTCCCCATAGAGCTGTTGGGTAAGAAGGTGTGATCCGAAAGTAGTGAGTGAATAAGTAAGTCCCCAGCAGACAAGGTAGGAGTCCAGTTGTGCCAGAGTATTAAGGACGCCCTTCCACTCCCACTACAGAGACCTGAGAGAAAATGTTGGCCCCCAATAACTAGGGAGGATTGACCAGGAGGCTCACATATTGATAACGAAAACAATTGGCTTACCTGCCACAGATATCCTCACCCTAGGCTCCGCAGATGACAGCTGGGTGTGACACCATCTCGCACAGGCAGTGTAGAGCCCTGACCCCATCAATCAGCACCCTCATTTCCCATTAGGCCTGACAGGTCCAGCAACGGGGCTGGATAAGAACTCTGAGGGGGCTTTTTGGGAGTGGTGCCTTTGTGCTTTTTCAGGAATAGGCAATTCATCTTCCAATGGCCCTTTTGATTACATTCAGGACCAGGCATTAGGGGTAGTTGGGGGTTTGGACATTCCTTTTCCCAGTGGCCCTACTTGCCACACTTGAAACAAGGGCCAGAAGGGCTGTTTTGGGAAGACAAAGACTGAGTGGGGCATCATGAGGGCCCTCTGGTATTGACATTTTGTTTGAGCCAATTTTTCCTCCTTTCTGGCTTCCTCCCTGTTACTGAAGACCTTAAAGGACAGATTAATTAAGTCTCAGAAGGGAGTATGGGGGCCACCCTCCAGGTGTTTGAGTTTGTTATGTCTGGTTGGGATTGAGATGAAGTAGGAATTAACTAAGTGTTGCCCCTTCTCCAAGGTGGGCTCCAGGGAGGTGAATTTTTCAAGAGCTTCTGAGAGTTGGGACAGGAAGGCAGCAGGTATTCATTGGGGCCTTGTGTGATTTCTCTGAGTTTATCCTAATGAACAGCCCTATAGGCACAGTTTTTGAGTCCCACTATGAGGCAGAGTAGTATGCGATCCCTGGACTTGGATCCAGCTGCCATAGGCTGATAGTTCCAGTCTGGGTCAGTGTTGGGGACAGCTTCTGAACGTAGGGGAAAGGTTGGATCCCTCTCTGTCTGGCCTCATAAGCATGATTTTGGGCCGTCAACCACACAGCTTGTTTTTTTTTTTTTTTTTTTTTCCTTTTTAGGAGTCAGGATATAGGTTAAAAGTATAAATGTTTCTCCAGGTGACCTGACATGTGTGGGATATGTGTGTGAACTCCCTGATATATTTTTGGGGGTCACTCATGAAGGAACCAAGATGCTGCTTGAGATGAGATAGATCAGTAAGGGAGCAAGGGCTGAGTACTAGAATGAGCACCATGGACCTGCTACTTGGCAGAGGGTAAGAGACCATTAGAGTCTCCTACCAAGGGGGCTTGAGATTGGGTGTGGGACACTTTTACATTGGTGGGGAGAGGGGTTGGTCACTGTTGACCAGATCTATCAGAAAGGTTTATTTAGCTTACAGTGTTTGGAGGTTTCTGTACATAATCAGCTGGTTCCAAGGCAGGGTGGCATGGCACTGGGGTAACACTTCAAGGCAGCAGCCAGAGCAAAAGGGAGGAGAGCAAGCCTCTTCCTTTATATTGTACACAGGCTATCCCCCACCCCCACCCCCCGGGGCAGGTGTAGCACTCACAAAATCTCTGTGCCCTCCTCTTGCGCAGGATGAGCATATTTACAAAGTAAGGATCCTGGCACCCTGCTGAGTCTCTTAAACTTCTAAACTTCTCAATTTGATACAGTGTATCAACTGTGACAATCATAGATCTCACTGCATAAGACTATTGTGTAAATTATATCAAGTGATATATTTAAAGATTTTTAGGGCAGAGCCTATTACATACAGAACCAATTTTATTTTATTTTGTCTTTTTCATTTTTATCGGTACCAGGGATCGAACTCACACCCGCCTGCTAGCAAGGCAGGTGCTTATGCTGCTGAGCTTAAATCCCCAGCCCCACAGAACCAATTTTAAATTTTAGTTTTCATATTAAAATTTTTGGTAATGGTTGTGATTTTGTTGAACAGTGGTCCTCTGTTGCCAACCGGGTACTTAACTTTCCGACAAAAAAAAAAAAAAAAAAAAAAAATCCAAATCCTCACCATACAAATTTTAGGATTAAAACTTTCTCATAATTTTAAAAAGATCTCTGATAGTTTCATATTTATATGGATCCCTCTGTCTTTGATTGCTTGTCTCTTGGGAATTTTTGTTCTTTGTTCCTTACTATCTTATAGAGATACAGTTCCTTGCTGTAATTTTAGGGGAAAGGCAAAAATGGTCCTTTATACTTCACCATTTCTTTCAGAGGAAACCAGACAAAGCTTTTGCATGTAGCAGAACTTAACTGATGATTTTGGGGTAACCTTAAGTACCACATAAGAAACAGCTTAGTCTCACATGTTAGATCTATTATCTCTGTTGCCTACACAACCCTGTAAATCTAGCCTCAACATGTTGCTTATTATCCTTTCTTACTTCTTTTCTGGAATTTTGAAATTTTTCATAATTAGAGAAATCAGCTCTATCTAGTCACTTTTAAATTTACAGTTAAAAAGAAAAACTCTTTATTTAGCAAAGTTCATCATCTTTAAGAATACAATTGTAGTTATTAGTTTCTGTCTTAGTTACTTTTTACTCTTTGCTGAGACCAAATCCTTGATGCTCAAAGTTAGGGAAGAAAAGGTTTATTTCTTACAGTTCTTGGAGGTTTCAGTCCATACTCATTTGGCTCCAAGGCAGGGTGGCATGGTAAGGCTGCAGTTCATGGCAGTTGCAACCTGCAAGGTGCAAACTGGCAAGAGAGAGAGACACACCTTCTTCCCTGTTACATCGTATCCTGGCTACGCTCACACCACCAATCCAAGCACAACAAACCAATCACAATGCTAGATTTAGTCCAGTCTATAATTCATGAGGCTTGGGAGCCACTGACATAAATCATGACAGTATCATAATATAAACTAAAATGTTTGGAAATGAGTATTGAGAAGTAGTCGCTAAAATAGTTGTTAAAGGAGGAGAGAAGTGATAATGAAAATTACCTATATTGTCTACAATGGCTCCTGCTATATTCTACAGAGTATAGTTACATAACCCCTTCAGCTTCTAGGTCAGAAAAACTAAGAAATTATTTTTGATGTTTTCTTTCACTGGACTCTGGAACAATTACTTAATAGAACAATTTAAAAGAAAAATATATGTGCTTCTCACTTTCGTTCTTTCTGTGTTTCCAAACAATCACAAGCTCTAGTGATAGGAATTTCTAACAACCTGGAAGTTCAATGGACAGCAACCAGTCTGGGTTAAAGCCTTGATCAATTTAGCAAACCACTTATCCTAACTCTACTTTTAATTTGTAATGAAGTGTATTAGTTTACTGTTACTGCCATAATAAGTTACCATACACTGAATGGCTTCAAAGAACACAAAATTATTTATCTTACACTTTGGTAGTCCAGAAGCCCAACCTGGGACTCAGTGGGATAAAACTAAGATATCATTATGGTCATCTCTCTCTCTGAAGACCCTAAGGGGAGAGTTGTTTTTCTTGCTTTTCTACTTTTGGAGGCCATCCACATCTGTCACTCTTGGCCTCTTTTGTCGATGTCCGCTCCCGGCCGGCAGGAAGGACACACGACAAAGTCTGGTAGTGGACAACCTTTTCTTTTTATTTTCCTTCTCCGTACAGCCTGCCCTGGGTTCTCCCAGCTGAAGCCTCCTCTGGTCCGCTCCCCGCGGCTCCTTTTGTGCTTCAGTCTGCCCCAAAGCCTCTACCGGTCCGCTCTCCGCGGCTCCTTTTGTGCTTTTACTTCTGGGCTTCTACCTGGCTTCTTCTTCCGCCCAGGGGTGGCACCGGTATATATACGGGTACAGTGTCCAATCATGTTAAAGTAAGCAAGGCAAGCTGATTGGCTAACATCATCAGTTGCCAGGCAGACTATATTGTTGAGCGGGTTGCTTACGCGGTAAGCAGGAAACTAACATATTCGATGGGAGGGGTAATCTACCTCAGGCTTTATTCTTTACTACAGGCCGCACGTCCGCCGCGCAAGGCGAGCTATCACAGACGCGGCTCCCAACACTCTTTTCTCAATCTTCAGAGCCAACAATGATGTAGAGTCCTTCTCATTTCATATCACTCTTATCTTCTCTGCCTCTCTGTTCTGCCTCTAAAGATTCCTGTGATCACATTGGGTCCATGCGGATTATCCAGGATAATCTCTTATTTTAATGTCACCTAATTTGTAACCTTAATTCTCTTTGTCCTAGATGAATTTATTCACAGGTTTTAGGAATTAGGACATAGACACTCCAAAGAATGGCATTGTGCTGCATACCACATCAGATAACAGAAAATCTTTAGTATTTTTAACCAAAAAATCTGTATCTTTGTGATAAAGTCTACCACATTTTTCATAGGGGAAAAGAAACACTCTATGGCAGCTCCATTGAGAAGAAATACTTGTCTTCCTTAATGTTGTTAAATAAATCACCTATTGTGGACAATGTTTTAATTGTTCAACTTGGATTCCATCCTCCTTATGTGATAGGAAATTTTGGCTCCTCCATTGCCAAGTCTCAGGGTGTTGTGAATGAGTTGTCTTGCCCTGGGTAAAGAACAGAAATTTAAATCAAGACAAATCAAGTGCATTTTCTGCTTAAAAGCTGAATTAGGAAAAGGAAGAGGATGGTAAATGGATTTTTTTCTTTGTTTTATTTTGATTCCATTGACTGTACCAAGGGGAAATGTTCAACGCAACAACTCCTATGTTGTAGAGTTGCCTAATTCCAGAGTGTGCCAAGTTTTGTTCTTCAGCTCTCCTTCCTATAAGGATTGCTATATTTTTCCAATGAATTCTGTTTTGTTTATGTCAGAGTCCATATCAAGCATGCAGTCAACTGAATATTCCTTTTTTTTTTTAACCTCTTTGACTGTATTTTCTAGCTCTTTCAATTTTTCTGACCATTCCAGGGTCTTACTGCAGCCGCCTCCTTTTTGGATTCCCTTCTATGTTTTATTATTATTTGTCTTTTTTGATATCTTGTCTACATGTTTTATTTTGTTTGAAGATGTGGCCTTGACTGCCATTCGATATCCCTGGTGTTTATGGCCTACTACCAAGTCAAACTTGACATAACACAAATCACGTCTTATTAAATGCTAACTTCCTCCCTTCATTTCTATCTCTGTCACTCTGTCATCGAGGCTAGAAAATTAATGAAAAACTTTTAGGTTTGTTAATACCTTTCATACTATAGTATAAAATTTTTTATCTTATTTTACACAATTACTTCCTCACATGCCCATTTTATCTTATGCAACTTCTCGAGGATAGGGTTCACATTTTATCTTTGTACTTCCTGGAATGCTTTGCATTTAATAGGAACTCATTAAATTTCTTATAAACAACTTTGACAGTTATTAAAACAAAAATAAAAACTGAATCTTAAGAAGGGGTGGCAGGTAGAGTTGTAATTACTGAGTGCCTATTATATAAATCCTAGGTGATTTTCATGGATTATTTAATTCTTATAACTTCACAATTTGGAAAATTAAGGTAAAGGGAAACTAAGTAATTAATACAGAGGCCACAGATAGTGGGAAAACCAGAATATAGAACTAGATTTTTCTGTCTGAAAGCTTAAACTGTTTCTAATTCACTTTATGCCACTCTAGTTTGGCATTATCAATATTATGAATATAATTTTAATTAATTGAATGGGCAGAATTTCCCTTTTTCACCTTTATAAAAGATAGGTTCCAAATAACAAAGCTGAGATTCCTTAAAATGTCTTGTGCCAAGTTTGGTGATTTCATAAGACAATAAAAATTCTGCAAATCTTTGTTTAATGTGTGTAACATGTTTAACATGTCAAAGAATGCACAGCACAATGCAGAAATATCAGATTCAGCTATTGTTTTGATAAATACAGTAGTAAAATCAGAATATCCAAAACAAATATAAAGTTTCTGAACATATTACATATTAAGAAAGAAAAAAATTTGGTTTACTGCCCCTCCAAATTTTCTCTTTTTTCTTAACGCTTTCATCTGTGCTCTAGGTCCTCTGCAAAAGACAGAAGATGTGATTCCATTGTTATGTCCAACAAGAAAGCTTTGTACAGCATTACAAAGATTGGGACAGTTATCACATTTGTAATTTATAGATTACATGTGGGAGAGCAGATAGAAGAGTAAGGCCCAATTGCCTCTAGTGAGCGCTAGGGAGAAAGGCCGTCTAAATGCACACTGACACGCTGCAGGAAAGAGTACAGCTTAGATCCTGCTGTTCGCTTGGATATGTACATGGATGGCTGGAGATCTGAGTGCATGTGCCTGTGTCTGACTGAATAAAGCCAAAGTGACCAGTCACTTGGGGCTCTTTGTTGAAGGAAGACAAGAGCCCTGTGGGCCCCACATTTTAACCTAGTTCTGTGTCTCTCATCTTATCCTCTATGGTCAGATATTGGTTCTGCCTATCCATTAGCAGGGGATCTCTTTTATTTTCCAATGTCCTCTTGGGTCTCATTTTTAGAGTACTACAGTTTTTATTATAGAGGTCTTTTATTTCCTTTGTTAATTTATAAGTATTTTATTTTGAAGCATTGTGAATGATATTTTCATAATTTTTTTTCATGGGTTGATTATTGGTAATAATCAATTGATTATTGTGTTTTCTATCCTGCTACCTTGCTGAATTTAATAGTTCTAGAAATATTTTGGTGGAATCTTTTAGGTCTTCTTTGTAAAGTATCATGTCATCTGAAAATTAATGATTTCCTAAACAGATGGCTGCCCTCTTATTCAAGACTTAGAATTCAAAATCATGCTAAGGAAAGTGACAAATTATGCATAGAGCCATTCTTTTATTATTAAATCTGGTCTGTAAAATGGCATACATTTTAAACGCCTCGCAGACAACAGTATGTATATTCACAACTCTAGAAATATTCTTTCCAGAATACACTAAAAATTTTGGTATTATAGAGACAGCAAAATCTAATTTTTTGTTTTTGTATTTATTTGTTTATTTTTTGGACAGTGTCTTATGTAGTTCAAGCTGTCCTCCAAATCAAGTCCTCCTGGGTCAGCCTCCCAAATGCTGGGACTGCAGGCATGTACAACCATACCCTATTTATTAATTTTTTTTATATCCAATTCAAAACCTAATCTTAATAAGGATCTTGTATATGATGGCATATAATCTAGTGCTCTACAATTTATCATTTGAATAACCCAAGCCAATTACTTTGTATCTTTTAAGTTTAGTTTTATTCATTTGCAAAATGGAACACACATTATCTTGGGGATCAGATAAATAGCTTGTGGACATTATTTTCTTTCTTTTTGTGAGGAGTTTGAGACAGGGTTTCACTATGTAGCTCAAGTCTGACTTTTTAACTCACAATGAAGCACAGGCTAACCTCAAACTCACAGAAATTCTCCTCCCTTAGCTTCCCAAGTGCTGTGATTACAAGTGTGTGCCATCATGCCCAGCCATATGGTCTTAAAACAGAAAAGGAGGGAAATCACTTTCAAAGAAGCTACCACCAGTACAATTTTTCTTACTATACAATGCTACATGTTCTCAGATTAGCAAAATTATATAGAAGTCAGTCTTTTCTTTGTACAACTCCCTTCTTTCTGTGGCTTACTTCGGGAAACAAAATACAGTTGTACCTCTAAATTTATCAATAGTATACCTACCACCTTAGTATTCATGTGGGCTTTGGTTTGATTTAGGCACCAAATTAACACAAAAGCTGCTTAACCAAAAAACATAGTTTCTATTAATTTTACATGTATGAGAAGTTTCATAGCAAAGTGAACTCTAAAGAAATGATCAATGCACCCATGACTTCTGCAAGCCCCAGCTAGAGACCTGTACTGTCCATAACATGTTAGGAACCAGCCCACACAGCAGGAAGTCAGTGGTGGTCAACAAAGCCAGTCATCTGTACTTAGGGCTGCTCCACATAGCTGGCATTACCACCAAAGCTGTCTCATGTCAGGTCAGCAGCAATATTAAATTCTCATAGCAATATGAACCCTACTGTCAACTGCATGAAAAGGATGTAAGTTGTGCACTGGCTATGAGAATCTAATGTTTGACAGCCAAAGTGGAGATGAGGAGATACTAGCACAGGGATTCACCTGTGGAAAAACTGTCTTCCGTGAAACTGCTCCCTGGTGACAAAAAAGTTTGGGACTTATCTTTCAGACACTTATAAATCCGTGTGTGAATGAAAAGGCAAACAGATATTTGAACAAGGGCAATAAATCGTGGGGATGTTACTATATATATATATATATATGGGGGGGGATGGAGAAGCTACCATAGTAGAAGGTAAGTCTTACATTAGAAAGTTTATTTATTCAGGTTTATTGGGAATACCAATTATCAATGTCTGGTGATCAAGGCTATTTTCCACCCTTGGTACGTGAAGAACATCCCTCCAGGAAACAATGCTTGCTGAATGTAGTGAAACACAGGCCTAATGGCTCTTTCTAAAGTTACAGTTTCTCAAGTGACTTCAGCTTGAATAATGAACACACTAACTTGACATATTTTAAGACGACACATCTTCAGTTCAAACCCCACTTCTATCAGATAATAGCTGTGCAACCTTGGCAAAGTTTCTTCTTTGTGTCTCACTTTGGTCACAAATAAAATTACACTACCTATTATAGTCTTAGGAGAATCAAATGAGTTATTATTTGTAGAGCACTTGCAACATAGTATACATATTCATTAACAAAATAGTCCATAACAAATAGCAGGAAGGATATAAGAAACCTGCAGTTACCATGCTGATTTTGTTACTAGTGTTTTTTAAAAAAATAAGAAATTTCCTCAGTTTGCTTTTAAGTCAACAGGTATCCATTAAACATCTACCGTCCTTGGAGTTTTTTTTTTTTTTTTAAATTTTTTTTTGTCTTTTTCTTTTTTTATCGGTACCAGGGATTGAACTCACGACTGCCTGCTTGCAAGGCAGGTGCTTATGCCTCTGAGCTAAATCCCCAGCCCCTCCTTGGAGTTTTGAAAACACAAATTTATGTGAGCTCATCCCTCCAGCAGTTAATCTACTCTAAATGTAATAAATGCCCAGGGAGTACAAAAATTACAGAACATAAAAGAGTAGAGGGCTGCATAAATTATCTAACAAAACATATAGCAAATTCAAGTGCTTTAAGCTATGTATTAGTAAATATATCTAAAAATTGGGTATTTACTTTGAAATCTACACAGACATTTGTGAAGTTCAATGATGCAAGAGAAGAGCTACAAAAATAATACTATTTTCCCTCTGGCTCCCTGAGATAGCTAACAAAACCTGTGGGTCCTGGGCACCTGAACACCTCCATGTGGGACTGAGGAACCCAGTCACAGAACCGGAAACAAGGCGGCGGGCTCCGGGAACTCCTAGATGTGCAAGGGAAAGAGCTCCAACCACAACCTCGACTGGAGACCAGGCAGCTCTTCAGGCTGAGGCAGGAGGGGTCCGCAAGTCGAGACGCAGAGGCGCCGCCGTCCCCACGCCTGGCCCCTCCAACAGGACTCGGGTTCCTGCGAGGCGAAGGCAGGTCGAGCGCTCACGCACCGCCGGGCCTGCTCCAGTGCACAGGAGGCGGGCCGAGGCGGCATCTGTGTTCTCTCAGCTAACGGTTTCCACGCTGCCGCTCTTTACCTCGGGGACGGGCCCGGCGGAGCTGCACCCTCACCCCGCGGCCGCTCCCGCCCCCGCGCAGTGGCACCCCTGCCAGCCCCTGCAGGGCGACGTCACTTCCGGCGCGCGCGCCCGCCCGCCCGCGGAGATGCACCGGGGGCCAAGCGGAGCCGGGAGCGCGCCCGCCGGGGGCGCGCAGGGAGGGCGGGCAGGGGGAAGGGGAAGGGGGAGTGTCTGCTCGGCGCCGCCACCGCTGCAGCTGCCTGGGACTTCGCCCAAGCTCTTGGCTCCGATCCGGCCTGGTCTTCCCGCCCGGACTCCCGGCCTCGGCGTCGGGCGCCCTCTCCGCTCCGAGCCGTGCAGAAGCGGGAGTTGCCTCGGACTGCGGAGCGGCGGGGACGGCCCCGGCCCCCCCGGCCCCCTCCCTGACCCCTTCTTGCCATCGCCCCGTCATGGGGAACGCGGCGACCGCCAAGAAAGGCAGCGAGGTGGAGAGCGGTGAGTTGAGGGCTGGGGCTGGGTTCCCGCCGGGCAGGGACAGCGCCGAGCGCCCCTCCGGGTCGGGGTCCCCGAGCCCCCGAGGCCGCGGGCACGGCCAGGCCCAGGGCGGCCCCGGAGAGCGTGCGGGGCCCGGCCGGCTGCCTTCCTCCCCGCCCTCCCCCAGCGCCGGGCCGGACGAGGAGCCAGGGCCCGAGCGCTCCGGCCAGCGCGTCCCTCTGGCGCTGGAGCGAGGAGGACCGCGTGCAGTCTGGAACACGTCCCCAAATATGGTCGGAGAAAGAAGTCCTGGTCCCTGCACACCTCCCTTATTCCATCCCCAATACCTGATCTCCCCTTGGGAGCTACAGGTAGTGCTGCGGGTAGAGTTGGCTGCTTTCCCTCCATCACTTCTGGAGTCCAATCCGGTCTCCTTTCAAAGCGAGGGCCGCTCCCGTAGCTATCTGCAGGTGAGGTTAATCCTGAGTCTTAGCGCTCTTGCTTCCCTTCAGATTTGGGATGAAGGCCACCTGCACCTTTGTCCATTAGAGAAAAAAGCGGAGCAGGTTTGCTTTTTCTGTAGACAACCGCGAATCTGCTACGATGCGTGTAAAACTTAAAAAGTCTTTGGGAGTTTCAAGTGCTTCCAGAACACGGTTGATTTCTTCTGAAAGCTGAAAGCGCGGGCATTCTACACTTCACATCAAACAGTAAAAAAAAAAAAAAAAAAAAGTCATAAAAGTCGAGTTTCTGTATGATTTTATTTGTAAACACTCTGTACATATGTAACAGAACGGTTGTGAAAGAAAACAGTGATTTGCCTTTGTAAGAATCAGATTTGATTTTGTACTTCACAATGACTCAGTAACAGTATTTGCTATTTGCTGTATGCCACCAGGAGTAAATGGAATCTCACTACTTGAAGTGAACCTGGTAATTTACTCAAGTTCATGTAAATAATGTTTTTGTTTGAAACACACTAAGGCTAATTTTATAATTTAGCTTAAAATAGCTTTTAACTGTAATAGGATCAACTAAGATTTACTCATTCATTTTGTTTAATGTGAATAATGAGATCAACTAATAGTTTATATGTCACCAGTAAGACTTGTTACTTTTTAGGAGCTCCACAAAAAGTTTGATGAACTATCATACGACTCATAAAATTGCTTTGGTATGTGATATGGAGTTTTAAAAGGCAAGGCATAAGTAGAACTTAAAATATTTTTAGTTGCTCAAGTGTTTTAACTAACTGTACAAAAGTGTAAAGAATGCAGAATTACTTGTGTCAGACAAATTGTCATTTCCTTGTTAATTTAAAGTTATGTTAAAGATAAAACTTGTGCTAATCCTGTTGCAAAAGTGTTTGGTAATTGAATCATGTCAGTGATATTTTTCATCAGCATGTGCTATGCTATACAATGTTTACATTTTTAATAGCAAGAGTGCATCCTTTTTTTGATCTATTTATTTCAATTACAAAGTTACCAAAGCTGTTTGCCTCTTAACATTAATTTAAAGCTTATAGTTGTGACATAATTTTGGAATATTTACAGAAAACAGCGACAACCTAAATTTATTTACATTATTTTTCTGAATAAATACCTTCTAAAGTTTTAGATCTTAAGTATGTTGGCCAGCGCTTTAAGTATTGATGTAGCTCATATATCAGTATAATAGATAGAGTTAATAGAAGACTCACCATTACATGCCTGTTCTGTATGGTTTATTTATGGAAACTGAAAGTCATTATAATTTGAAAAAATGTGAAATGACAAAAGAAAATAACAGATGATGTCTTCAAGGAAAATTTATTTGAAATATCCCGTGTTGATCAGTGTTTGTAGCTTCATTTGGAGCAAGTTTATCAAGTATATGTTGGTGTTATTCTACTGTAGTAAACAAAAAAAATTGTATTATGTTTTAAAATTTAGTGAAGAATAACTTATTTCACACTTATTTTGTGTTTTTCAAAAGAGATATGCTTGGAAATTTATTTTTCAGAGTTTAAATGTAGTTATTTAAATTTCAGTTGACAGAATAAACTAAGAAATAAGTGGTCTCAGAGATCAGCCTGTGTAATTATTCCATTTCAAAGAATGTGTGTGACCTCTGAAGAAGCTGGAATTGACATCATACTGTTAATAATGACAGTAAGGAACAGATCTGTTACTTTGACTCCATTTTGCATCACTAAATAATCTGTTCGTGTTCTTTCAAAATATTTGCCAAGTGTTGTAGTTTCAGCTGGGGATACTGAAAGCAAATGCTTAAAATTTTTACCATTTAGTGTGAGAGAAGCTGTGCATATAGCAATTAACTGAAAGGCAAAATGTTTCAGTGCTAATGTTATGAAAATGAAGTTAGAACTCTGAAAATTACCAATAGGAAAATGTTTAAAGAATTGATTTAAAAGTATCAAGTTAAGTAAGATTTAAGGTTTGTTTAAGGCGAAGCTTGGAACAGACAGGTAATTCTAGAGCTTAGTTCTAAAAATACTCCAGAAGAATAAAATACTCCAGAAGAATAGAGATAGTTGAGAAGGGGTTTGGTTTACTTTAACTATCTGGTGGCTGTGTTGTAGTCTATTAAAACCAGCTTCTCTAATACATGTGAAGATTTCTTAGGCTAAAACATAAAAACCAGGGAAACTCCACTCTCAACAGTTGCTGGACGTAGTATTAATTTGGATACCTTTATCTAACTAGGAGTGTATTGATGTAGCTCATAAAGCAATGTAGCGGTTAGAGTTAATAGTCAGAACAACTCTCATACCTGTTCTATGTGGTTTAAAAAATTACTCCTGAAAATAAATGCGTTTCAAAATTTGAATGGAGTTGCACAACACCTAATATAAAGAAGCATAAACTTTTAGAAAAGTGTGACAATTCAATTCTGAGGTATTGCACACTCTGGTCACCCAAGGTTGTTTTACTTATTCAGTCTCCTTTTACTCACCATCAGTCACCAACACAGAAAACACATGAAATTCTTTTATCCTGAGAGGAGTTTTAATTTTCTTTTTAAAAATTAAGTCTACAGACTGCCTATAGGGCCTCATACTCCACATTCATGGTAAAGGTATGAGGTCTTATGGGTGAGAAATGTTGATAGAGTTTTGGATGATTGCAAGTGGCCAAGCTACCTTGCAGCCTAAGGGTTACATAATAGTCTTTGATTGTTTTTCCAGAAAATCTGTATTTTAAGAGCCTGAAGAGAAATATAAATTAACCAAAGAAAGTTGCCAATAGATTATGTTCAACAAAAAGGCAAGTTTCCTGACTAAAATTTTTTGAGAACTGGTACCTGGTTTTCCATTTATTTCCTTTGCATTATTCCTCATAATCTTTCCAGCTCAGTGAAATACCTCAGTTATTTCTTTGAAGAGTTTAATTTATTTAAGGTTGTAAAACTAGTAGGTCAAAGAGCATTATTTGAATTAGGCAACCCAAAACCCCAATTTCAACCAGAAATGCTAAACAGTCTTTTGCTTAACAAAGTGACAAAAGTAGCACTTGAAAACATCCTAGGTAAACCAGGATATTTATTAAGATAGTCTTAGATAATTAAGAATTAGCCACGATTAATTTTGATATTCTATTACATTAATGAAATAATTCAGTACAATTTATTAAACTGTGTATCTAGATGCTACTAAATGTTGGTATGCATCTGTGACCCAATTTCCTCAGATAAATAAACCCTAAATTTTAAGTGAAAAAAATGTTAAATAGGAAAATGGAATTTATGAGAAGTAAAGGTACATAGATCAGTACTATATTATTTTAAGTATTTAATCTTTCTTTTAAAAATATTCTCTTGAAATTCTGTACCGTTCTTTTTTGTCTTTCATTCATTCACTACACATAACTAGGTTAGTATGTGACAAACTATGTAAGACTACACAAAGGAAGACTGACTATAGGACATAGTACCTATACTAGTGCTCTTATTTTCCAGAAGGGAGGGACAGGTAACAAATGATTTCAAAAGGTGAATGGGGAACCAAGGTAAAGAATGTTGGGTTGGGGAGGATAAGATTAAAAAAGAGACTTCAGAAGAGTTGAGCTGTGAGTAGAACACAGGAAACGGAAAATTATCAGAGCGATTGTAGGCAAAAGGGTATACTGAGTAAAGGGAACAGAGAGTCAGCAGAGATTCTGAGGAGTGAAAGAGCGTGACATAGAGTAAAGAAGTAAACGGACCATCATGACTAAATGACAGAGCATGGGGTGGACCCTTAGAAAGAGGGGAGGTTGTGTAATGAAAGATGAGACTGAAGAAATAAGACGAGTTAAAATGAAAAGTTTTAACTTTACTCTATAGATACGAGGTGGTTATTGGAGACTTTAAAATCAGGGGAAGATGATAAAATTTGGTTTTTAATATGATTGCTGTCATAGCTGTAATGAAGATGAAATGCAGTGGAATAAATAAAGTGGAGCCAAGAAGTTCTGGGATAATTTGGTT